TCTAAAATCTGGGCATCTGAGGAGACAACCTCATGGTTGGAAAGGATAATTACTGGGCAACATGTCGCAAGCAAACAAAATCGCTCGTTGGTCGATGCTTCACACTGCCCTGTTGCTCGCGACCAATTGCATCCGTTGCCGCAAACTGAAATTGTAAAGAGGAAAGCGCAGTGCAGTTGTGCTTGACAAAAGCAACAACCGAAGAAACCGATGCGAATGCCTCGCTCCTTTATCTTTTGCACGTTGCGCAATCTTGGGTGAAAGCCTGGTTGCTCAGGTTAGTCCCCCTGCCAGCTACGTCGCGTACACTATGCGTATATATTCATATGTATGTAAATATATGGGTACACGACATATGTATATATCTATATGTGCACCCATTTTTGCACCGACATCTACACACCTATGCACACACACACATGTATATGTCTACGTGTATGAACAAACACATACAAATATTTTGTATATACGTATGTTATATATAGGTGTGCCTGTGTGAATGCACAGGCTATAGATACTGGAGCCTCACGGGTGCATCGCGTGACGTTTCTGGTTGTACCTAGGAGTCCTTAGCGCTGAGCTGCCGGGACCGGCGGGAGCTGCTGGCTGCGAGCTGGAGTTTCCTTTGCTTCTGCACCCGTTGCCGGGGCTCCCGGAGCTCCCGGGCGTTGGGTCACCGGTTCAATCTGGTAGACCCCCTTTTGGTTGGTTCAGGGGAAGCCAAGAGGAAACCAGCCTGGGGACCACGATTTTGGGACAAACATCTAACATCTAGTGGTTCGGTGGTAGTCAAAATCTCAGCTGCTCCGTGGCTTCCAGATGGTTACACCATTGTTCATTGTTCGGCTGGGCTCTCCCTAATTGAAATGGATCCATTTTTAACCAGGGAAACTGGAGAACTCGGAAAACATGGAGAAGGCTCCACAACAATGCGGCGCACCGTGTCACTTCTCAGCAGGGCAGGGCCCCATTTAAAAACCGCATATCCTTCTCACAGTTTCACCTGAACGATGCGGCTCGGTTTGGTGTCCGCGCCAGGGCTTCTTGTGCATTGCCAAGGAGTGGTTGGGCTCAAGCAAGGATTGCGCAAGTAGCAGTCTGTCACGGGAACTCCTTGTCCCAAGTTTGACCTCAAGGGTTTGCCTGGACGCTCACAGCTTGCGTTCTCGCAAGTCTGTGGAGCTGGTTTTTGGGCCGAACGCAAAATCCAAGTAGCGGTTTCGCTAAAACAAATCCTGTAAGCTTGCGTGTTGGGGGGCTGGCGCCCACGAACAGCATGCTTTTCCAGCGTTTTGTTTGCCCAAATGCCCTTGGCCCAGGTGACTCTGCCGGCAAGTGACAAAAGCACAGCAGTTCTCAGAAGCTGCAAACGCATGTGACGGTACCAGGAAAGGACCTGATGAGCTTTCTTCCGCAGTTCCTGAGCTTTAGCCCCCCGAGCCCAGGCCAAGACGAGTTCCCCATGCCCTTGTGCTGCGGTGCGGGGACCAAAGATCCCCCTTGCGATTTGTTCCGGCGGCCGCAAAGTTGCATCCTGCCTGAGGCGTTATTCGGATGGGATGGCAAAGCTTGAGGCATGCATCATGAACAAATCAAGTCAAAGCCCGCGCTCTCATGAGCAATGGGCTTGAGCGGCTCGGGCGTGCTGGTTCTTGGGTTGGCCCGGGCATGCAACGAAACATTTTGTCTTTAAAATTGATTCATCACACCACCAAGAAGCAATGGAACCCCACGTGCAAGTTGTGCCTTTATGGAAAGCGTGTTCCTGGACCCTCCACGGTTAACATCGAATGCTTCCTCATTGTTTTGGGTGAGTTTCCTTGTTTAAGGGTAGCTTGGGTCCGGATTGTGCTTGGACACTGGCAGTTAAACTTCAAAGCAGATGGACACCTTCCCCAACAATTCTTTGGGCCCAGGTGCGCCGTGTGAGGGGCGTATCACAGAGAATATCCCGACGCCGGGCTGCATGGAGTAGTCCATGGCCCAGTTTCTGCCACAAACAATTGTCTTTGGCCATTCTAAAGATGGGTGTTTCTTTGGTCAAAGAGTTGGAGCACATAGTACCTTCTAGCTTGGGGGGTGGCTCGCTTGAGAGGCAATCCAAAGGCCAGATCTCCATGTTTAACACCCCAATGTTCTGGGAGAGGTGGGGTTTTCCAGCTTGAACAGTTTCTGACGTGGATGCCAAGCTTGAAGACTGATTCTTTCGTTGCGGGGACTCCCATCTTTGTGAAACCCCTCGAGGTGCCAGGCTTTGCTCGAGAACATGGATCAACTTGCTTGTTGGGGGATGCTGATCAGCTGAATTGCAGGCGTGCAGAGCCTTGCATTAGTTTCAGAAGTTTGCTACGGAGTTACGACCGTCCCGCTGCAGGTAAGGCAGGAGGGTTCCTCTTCGTTTCCCATCCACCGTATCGGCTTTGAAGCCTGCATGTGTGTCAGCTGCCTGCAACAAATTGTCCTTTTTCACCTTTCTCAGCTGCCCGTGGCACCCTTTCTTTCTGGGAAAGGTCCCCCTTGGCAATGCCAATGTTCTTCGTGGCCACCGCGATCATTTTGGCGTTTCGAGGTTGGTCCTTCAGCGACATTTTTCTTGGGGTTGATTCCCCATTCTTTTCAACCAGCGTTCTTTTCAAACACCAGCTGTTTCTCCTGGGTTTTTGATGGTTTCCTGAAAAGAAGGATCCCTGGAAAGAATGAGGAAGGTACCCCTAGATTTGTCTCCAATCAGATGTTGCCGGGTCCTTCTGACCGCTCAGTGCCCTTAAGACTCAAGAGAGCCAGCTCATGACCTCGAGCCCAGGAGCCCGGGCGGATGTGGGTCCTGCCACTTGGACTTGGAGCCTTGGCAGCTTTGCGGCCGCCAACCATTTGAGAATCCGCTGAGGTCCCGCGAAAGGAACCCGTGATAAAATCCTGTGGCGCGAAGAAAGGAACTCAGCTTTGCATCCAGGCACCCTTTTTGTGCGGTCCTCGCGGAACAAAAACAAGAATGCCTTCTCTTTGGACGCGTGCATCCGAAGTTGCAAGCTATGTTCGCTAGGAAATCCAGTCATACTTCTTCGAATGCGCCGCCTGCGGCAGCTGCTTTTGCCCCTGGTGCGGGGCGGAGGAGAAAAATAGGGAGTGCCTGGTCCTTGTGAGGGGCTTGCGCTTGCAACCAAGAGCTTGCAGCTTGGCGTGTTCGACGCATTTTTTTGCGATGGCACAATCCGAGCCGCTTCTGGCATCTTCCGATTTCTTAAGACTGATGGGTGGTTGGTGCCGGCCAACGCAGCTCGAGAAGGGTCAGCCTCGAGACCTCTTCGATTGTGTTGGGGAACCTTCCGTCCATGTTGGCATGGCTTAGTAAGGCATGGCCACATGGGAAAGAATCCTGGCCAGGTGATTGGACGCCTTTCTGCCTCAGAGACGGAGATGTTGCTAAGTGTCTGGGCCCCAGCAAAAAGTGGTTGCGGGTGTAAAATAGTGGGAGTGCACTCTTTAATGCTGGGGATGTCTCCTCAGGGAGGGCCTGCCTGTGTGATAGCGTGTCCAAAGAAACTCTTTAATGCTTGCGCATCATTCAGAAGGGCCCGGCCCTTTGGGCGAACTTCCGTGTGGGTGCTTACAGCAGGTCAAGCTGCGAGTCATTCGCTATTGGGACCCCCTGTCCACGTGCAACATGTGCAACGCACAGGCACCTGAGATTCAGATGCTTCTGGAGGAAGTTTCGCTTGGGCGATGGTAAGCCGCTTTTTTTCTTCCTCGTGCCGATCCCCACCACCCAAATTCAGATGCGCCGTGCTGAGGGTCCCTGGTGAGAGTCTTTCAGGTTTATGCTGGTGGGAAGTAGCGGCCCCATGGTTTTATGCTTATTGGCACACAGTTGATCAAGTGGCCCGTGCGATGGCATTTGAAGGTTTTAAGGCAACTTGCTGTCCTGTGTCAGAAAAATGGCACCAGTTCTTCCATCCGTGCACGGAAGAGATACAAAACCAATTGCATGGGCAAGTCTTGCGCTCATGGGAACTGCATGGAACAGCGGCTGCTTATGATATTATGAGCCACCAAAAATGTGCTACACTGACCTCCCTAGCCCATTCATGCCTTGGTGGTCCTTCGGCTTGCGAGGCTGAAATAGTTGTTTGCTCTGCGGCTGTAGGTTTGCAAGTGCTTGGCCCCTTAGGCTCTTCAGGGATGATCTAAGTAAAGCCGGAAGAGGTGATGTAAGATAAATAGCTTGACTGAGGGCCAAAGCACCTTCTTGTACGCATTGCAGTTGGTTTGCGTGACATTGACGCCGCCCTATGGCGTGCACTCCTGTCTATTTTGGCTGACCTGAGCCCAAAAGCCAACTCCTAGGAAGCTGGTCACTCGGCCAAGTAGTTGATTGGTTTGTTTGTTTTCTCGGTCTGTTTGTTGCACAGGTTTGTTTTGTTTCGCGTTTGTTTTTTCGTGGATGGCATCTTATACGGCAACAAGCACTTGAACGCCTGCGGCCTGACTGATCCTGTCAGGTCTTGGACCACCGGAAGAACAGCTCGGCACTGCCTTTGGCGGTTGCTTAACACGAGGCACCGGCCAGAATGTCAACGTTTGCTTCAAGGCTACAGTGCCTCCGTGTTGAATTTGTGCAATGTGTTAGCCATTCCCGAGTTTATACTTGTTCTGTATGAGTGTGCTTGCTGGTTCGCAAGCATGTTGCGCCATGCTGTTCCGAATTGGTATAGCTGGCTCAGCTGATCCTGGCAGTGGTTGTCATTTTTTTTCAATTGACATCCTTTCAGGAAGTGAAGCCATGCTGGCCCTGCCTTTGAGAGAGATGTGCCCGGCGCGGGGGCAACGGGCATGTAGTGCAAATCTTGGGTCATGTCATGTGGAATGCAGCCTAAGCAGGCTCAAGAGAAGCTCGCGGGCAGGAGGTGCCAGAAGCATTGGATGTTACTAAGCCCTCAGCCCGAAAGCTCCGGGGATTTACTTCAGATCCAAAGCTTTGGCCCTGAGCGAAGCCGAGCGCCATGGCGGACGGCCGCGGAGCGCAGACGGTGTACAGAAACCGGGAGGGTAAGCGCATTGAGCGCGAAGAGTGGGTGGAGCTTCAGCAGAAGAAGAAAAAGAAGCGAGTCGCCGACTATCCGGAGCAGGACGGGGCGGAAGGGATGGGGGGGGCTTTGGGCCTTGTTTTTGCAGTGGCAGGATTGTCTGCAGAAAAGCTTGTGCTGCCTTAGCTGGGATCCAACTTTTCTCCAGTACACGTTTGTGGATGGCCATGCATCCCTGGCGAATCCAATGGTCGCTTTGGGCAAGGGACGGTCGTGTAAGGGATTGTAAGGGCGTGCAGTTTAGCGAAGATTTGGGAGGAGGCAATGGCACTACCTCTTCAATTGCATGCTTCGCATGTGTGTGTGTGTGTGTGTGTGCCTGACTTACGAGGAGCCCCCGTCCTTGTTGAGCAATTGGTCACTCGTTTGATTGAATATCAGCCTTGCAGATTTGCCTAGTCACACGTCAAACCAAGACCAGCCCGCTTGGTTGCCCAAATCAGATTGGAGCATGGTGGAGAAGGTTCTGGTTCGACGGGCTCACATCCAACGACTGATACGCTCGGAGTTCTCCGTGCTGTTCGGGTGCCAGGAGCTGGAATGGGGGGGCGGCCTGAAACAGCGGGACAACCGGGAAGAAGAGATGGAGGAGATCACTAGAATAGCTGCGCAGCCTTTCGCACGCCCCTCGCAACACCACCGCAGGTCACCTTTGGGGCAACAAATTTTGGGGAGCCGACAGTGCTTAGCTTCATGCGATGCGTTCTTGCGGCCACCGGAGCCGCGGGGTGGTGGCCATGAGGTTGGAACTGTCCACATCTGACATGAGCGGCGCCTTCAATTGTATGTAAGCACTTTCAGTTCCGTTTGATTCTTAGGTTCTTAGATGCTTTGTTGCTTGCGATGTTGCCAATTGCTGTTGCACAGGCATCAAAGCACTATGCTTAAGCCAGGTCAAGAGGACCCGAAGGGTTGCTAACATCTTTTCTGTTCTTTTCAGCGTCACAGTCGCCTGAATGCGGGGAGGTTGCAGTCGATTTGTATCACTTGTTGTTCGCCCGTATTTGTTTCGTGTCAGCGCTGGCAGTGTTGGGGCATTTGGTGGCGAAGTGGAGTGACAGAGGTTTTTGTGCTGGTACGTGATGGTGGGGTCAGCCAAGGCTTTGAACCAGATGAGAAGTACATGCAGGAGCTGCCACTTGGTGCAACATAGGGCAAGAGTTGGATGTGTTGGCCTTAGCCAGTCCCAAATTTGCACTAGGCATCCAGTCTTGTTTGGAATTCTGGTTCCCCTTACAGTAGCTCTTGAAGCACTCAGCCCAAGGCAACGGCTTCAGCATATCCAGGGAATATGCCAAAAGTGATGCAGCCACCTCCAAGCTTCGAACCCCACCACTGGCAGTTGGCCCCGGAAGTTTTCTGAGTGGCATGACGTCTTGGGCCCGGAGCCCCGCTCGGTTTCGGGGCACTGCGGAGCCTGAGGAAAGCTAAGCAAGACTGGAATGACCCCATGCGCCAGTTTGAGGAGGAACAGGCAGGGGGAGGGGGGGGGGCGGTGGGATTCCAGAAAGAAACCCGCGGAACCTACGTATTGTTCATCTGCAGCTCGGCAGCTCCCCAAGCTTGATGTTGGCTGAGCGATGAGTCGGAAATGGACTTCTAGCTCGGGAATCATGAGGGTCGACTGGACGACGTCTTTCTTTCAGCACACGGATAGGCCTTTCGTTTCAAGTAGGGATGTTGGCCGTCAGGATTTGATACTCGGCTTGAAGGACCATCAGTGGCTAGGTGCTTGTCTTCCGCCCGATGTGTCATTTTCGCCTTTTGCGGATGCCTGCACACAAGCAGAGAAAGATCAAACGGCGAGGCTTGCCCCGACAGCTTTGGGTTCCTCAACTCATGTGGCACCCCCTTGATTGACTCTCAACTAAGGGTTCCCATGATGCTTCACTTAAGTCTCTCGTCCACTTCTCCCCTTAAGAACTTGCAGCTCGTGTCCCCCCAGCGCGTTGGCGCGCCCTGCGCGAGATCGCTTGCGGGAGAGCGCGCGAGGTGACCGCGCCGAGTTTGGAGAAGGTGGCCGCGGTGAAGAGGCCCAAGTGCCCCCACCCGCCCTGGCAGAACCGATACGCCCCTCGGGCGCTTGGTCAAGACCTTTGGGCCGAGAAGGGAGGGCAAAATGCGGAAGGCCAGAAAATGGCAAGGCCTTGAAGTGGGATAGCTGAATCCAGCTGGCTGTGGCTTCCGCAACCTGATGTTGCATGTCATCCGAAGGTGGATCTATTCCGTGGGGGGCTATGATCAAGGCTTGCGGTGATTGCTTTGGCAATGTAGTTGGTGATGGGTTAGATCATGTCATCTATGTCACTCAAACTTGAGCTTGAGAGTTACGTGATATCCGCCAGAAGCCTGCCTGCTGCCCAATGGTCGCTGTGGACCTGCCGAACACCGGAAGAACCTCAAAATACTCCAAAGTAATTGGTGTTTAACACGATTTTTGTGCGGGACATTGCTGCCCAGACTGTCGAACAGTCGAAATAGCACCCTCAAAGCGCAATATTATTCGCTGACTGTTGCGTGCCACCCGGATTTTGACAGTAGGCCAGTCAGCTTTCCGAGGACCAGTTTTTCTTTGGGTCAACCAGTCAAACCAAGGATCTAGTTTGTATTCCTCGGCTAGTCACAGGTCACCGAGTTGCCCAGGCGACAGTCCAAAGCAGAGAGGCCTTTGCTGCGGACCTCTGCCCAATTTGAAAGCGCAACAGTACTGTCCGCTGGTCTGCAGGTAGGGGCCCCCGGAGATAATGACGAGCTTGCTTTTCGCAGGGCTTCCTGGGGGGAAACCGTAGTTTAGTTGATGCCTGCCTTGCTCGCCGGCGGCAATCAGCTAAAAAGCTTAATCAATCAGATTCGATCTTGCACATGAACACGCGGGGTCTACCCTTGCAAGCAAACCTTCGTCGCCGCCTGCACTGAGGACATAAAGCCGGGCTACCGATGGGATGGCAGGGTCAGAGGCAACGGTCACGAGCAGGAGTATTTCCACACCAAAAACCAGAGGCCACGGGCTTCGGAGAAGCGGGTGGTGTAGTTCACCCTGCACTCGCCTTTCTGGGGTGCTTTGCAAGTGGGTGGGGGATTCAGGCAGTCTTCAGGACTTAAGCAATGTAAAACTCGCATAGCCAATCAATGAAAAAAGCATTTGCAGCATTTATCTTTGTCTTGAATCAAGGAATCAAGGTAGGAATCAAGGAATCAAGGTAGGTACCTGCCTGGGGATATAACAGTTGGGTTGTGCCCGTTGGCAGGTTTTGGTTGACCCCTACAAAGCATCAAGGTGGCAACAGCCTTGGACGGGCTTAACATGTAGCTCTAAATGTAGCTGATTGACCAGACTGAGTCTGGCAGCCGCGACCTTTGCATCAAAGTTGTTCCTCAACGACTTGGGTGAACGCCTTCTCAAACATGTTTGCGGAAGGTGACTTGGACTTATGTGTTCGTTGCCGTTTGTTCGCCAGTTCTCGTTTTGACGGGCTCATTTGCTTTTTGGCTTACGTAGTGTAACCGGCAGCCCGAGTTGCCATAACTTGTCACATTTTGGCAGGCCGTTTTACGAGGAAGCCCCTGTGATCTTCCCAGCCATCCCCTTAGCTTTCTAGCCTTTTAGTGTTTAGTGGTAATTTCCATCTAACCCACTAACAGTTAAACTTTTAGCGGGGGATCTGAGGGCAGTGATGGATCATTTGTTTTCCCAGCCAGCAAGTCCGCAGGGAGTTCGAGAAGGCCGATGCCTGGCGCCGGGAGATGGCCAACGACGACAACTGAGGGCCATGATGCACGCTGCCAGGGGCGAGAGGCAAGAGGCCAGCAGGTTCCCATGGTCCCCGCATCGCGGCGAAGTCGGAAAAAGGTGCAACTGACTTGCTGCGATAGGTAGAGAATGTGGGAATGAACCCAGGGGTCAAGGGAGGATGAGTTTATAAGGGTCGTTCCCTCATTCCCTGCCTATCGCGGCAGCAAGCTGAGTGTAGCTCTGTCGTCCCCCTTTCCACTGGCCGTCAGCCGGGAGCCCTGCAGGCCACAGGGGCACACATCTTCCTGTCGACGGCGCTGGCCTGAGGCAAACCATCACGGCCACGTTTTAAGGCGGAGACTGGAGACATTGAGAGGAAACACATGTCCAATGCCTCGTTGCATTTGAAACATTGGATTCGGCATGCGCTGGCAGAGAATGAACAAGCTTTTGTGTGAATATGTGATTGGGCTCAGGCACTGGCCACCTGGACCCAGTGCACGCGCTGTGTTGCATATGCTTCACCTGCACGGAGCAAGTCAATTGCGAAGCATTTCGTCCTGCCCGCCACTGCTCGATGACTCAACGCACCAGATCACACTGTAGACCAAATCCTGCACCACTTTGAAACCATGGTGGAAACCCTTGTTTGTTGGCATTTAACAGGGGGAATGGTCAGAAACCAGTGTTTCTTAGGTGGTGCGATTTCTGGATTTTCAACTATCCACAGCATGTTCTTAGAACACCGAGGTGCCTCCTTCTGGGTGCCTCGACTGCCTGAGCTTTGCACGGGCCTCAACAGCGCTGCACAGGCTCGTGGGAGTTGCTTTCTAGTTGGCCACATGATGCCAAGGGAGCCCTGTTCAAAGATTTCATCCATTGTGAAATTTTCCCGCAGCATCCAAGCGTCCAAAGGCTTTTTGCTTTAGACCTTGAACCTGAGGCAACTCGGGAGGGGGGGCCCTCGCCTGGGTGGCCAGGGCTTTCAAGTTGGCCCTTCGGACCTTGGCAGAGGCAGAGAGTTTGCGTTGGAGGGGGTCATATTTGAGAATCGATGTTACCTCCAAATGTACTCGCAACAAGTTTTAAGTTTTAAGTCAACCAGAAACTACCCAGAAACGATTGCCAATTATGTGGGTTCGTGGCGCCTTGCAATGTTTAGGGTCGTAGAGTCAAACAACCA